CCTCCACGTGCACCTGCTGATGTGACCTGGGGTCAGTCACAAGCTCTGGCACAGCTGTCCTTGAAAAAGAGCCGTTTGTGTCAAGAGTTCTCTCAGCCCCGCCCCCCTCACAGGGTGTCTGTTGTGGGGAGGGGAAGGGAAAGCAGTTTGTAAGCCGCTCTGAGACTCCAAGTGAAGGGCGGGGTATAAATCCAATCTCTTCTTCTTCTTCTCTCTTCTTTGGGGGGGGTCGTTTGAGAAATGAGCATTGAGCACATCTGCAGTCTGATGTGCTATATAAGCTATATGCAGAATTACCATTTCATTTGTTTGGGTTTTTTAAGAACAAATCAGGCATATTGCAAACTTCAGTGGTGCTTGCTTCAGCCTTTCATCTAAGTTCTCAGAATCCACAAGTCCCTTCCCCCCCGACCCTGGCTAGTGTTTGGATGGACATCCAGCTGAATACCAGGGTCACGACACAGAGGCAGGCAATGGGAAACCACCTCTGAACGTCTCTTGCCTTGAAATTCCTATGAGGTCAACCATATGTCAGCTGTGACTTGATGGCAAAAAAACAACACCTGCAGTGTATCACAAGATTTTTTCCCTCCTAGATTGGGCTGCCCATAATGTATGATTAGTAATTTGTAATCTAAAGGGAAAGGTCGGTAGCTTGGCAGTTTGAGACCCGAATACCGCGTGACGGAGTGAGCTCCCGTCTCTGGCCCCAGCTCCTGCCAACCTAGCAGTTTAAAAGCAAGAAAATGCAAGTAGATAAAGAGGTGCCGCTTTGGTGGGAAGGTAACAGCGTTCCGTGTGCCTCAGCATTTAGTCATGCCAGCCACATGACCATGGAAAAGTCATCGGACAGTGCTGGCTCTTCAGCTTGGAAACGGAGATGAGCACTGCCCCCTAGCGTTGGATTCAACTGGCTTTCAAGCAAGCGAAGCCTTTACCTTTACTAACCTAAGGGGAAGAAAAGAGTCAACTTAATTTTTTTTTAATTGCCTGCTTAATCTTTTGGAGCTGAGTGAGTAAGTTTCAGTTTACAGCCCTCCCAAATCAGTACATGTCTTTAATTACACATTTTCAGTCACACCTCATGGCTGCCTTCTGCCCTTTCGGTAAGAAGGTTTGGGCACTCAGCCTGGGTTTATTCATGTACGAGCAGATTTCTTCAAACACCTGAAGAGGTGCGCCTGCACACAAAAGCTGATACCCAGAATAAAACTTTGTTGGTCTTAAAGGTGCCCCTGGACTCCAACTTTGTGCTCTTACTTTGTCTGTTTGCCACCAGTTAGGTGTGGATCACACCCGTTCTAGTTCCTTTGCCCCTTTGTCTGGTTCTTGTTTTCAGTTGTGCTCACCATCATGTGGCACACCAGTCTCATGCACTGCTGGGCTTTCTTGCCTCTCTTTGCAATTAACGTCCCTCCCCCTTTTTCTGTTACCTGTCTATGTATATGCTAACACTTCATGCACTGGGCGAAGTAGGCTCTGGCCACAGGAAGATGCTGCACACCACCTTCATTGTTCTGATTTTTTTTGTTGCTGTCTGCCTTCTTGACTAGAAAGTTTTCTCTTTCCTGGTGTTACCACAGACCGTGTCCTGGGCTCCTGTTTTTCAGCGCCTTCTGCCTCCACGGCCTGTGCTAACTTCACTTCTCTTTCCTTCCGGCAGCCCTTGGCGAATTGTGGACGACTGCGGTGGCGCCTTCACCATGGGGATGATTGGTGGGGGCGTCTTCCAGGCCGTCAAAGGCTTCCGCAATGCCCCAGTGGTGAGTCTTGACTTTCCTCTTCCCTTGCTTTTTCCTGCAAGTGGAAGGAGGGAGCGGAGGAATCCAGGCTCATTTGGGGGCCTATCGTAAAATGTTTCCCTTCCTCTCATGACAGTTTCTGTCTGCATCAGGTTACGTAGACAAGGCTTGTCTCTGACTTCTGTACACGGCTTTACTTCGACAGGACACTAGAAATAATGATAGTTGTTGTTAAAATGAAGGTGCAAGTATGGAAGAAGAGAAGAGTTGGTTTTTATACCCCACTTTTCTCTACCTGAAGGAGTCACAAAGTGGCTTACAATCGCCTTCCCTTCCTCTCCCCACAACAAGCACTTTGTGAGGCAGATGGGGCTAAGAGAGCTCTGAGAGAACTGTGACCGGCACAAGGTCACCCAGCTGGCTTCATGTGGAGAAGTGAGGATTCAAACCCGGTTCTCCAGATTAGAGGAGTGGGGAATCAAACCCGGTTCTCCAGGTTAAAAAAAAAATTAAAAAAATTAAATGTCAATTAATACAACAATTATAAAAAGTACAGCAAAGAGATACAAAATATGGGTAAAATACACTGCCAAACAGAATCGGAATCCACCCTACCTCTTGAAAACAGAGAACCCTGTTCCAGCAGCTGTCAACATTAATATTAAATCTAATTATGCAGTTATACAGTTTGTAGCTCCATTTTTCGTATCGCTTTTGCCTGTGAGTTATCTAAACTATATACATATTAGAGTCTGCTGCTCTTAACCACTACACCAAACTGGGAGGGTGATCTCAGGCTCAGCCCTTCCGGAGGCCCACAGTTCTGTAGCTGGCGATTGTATTGTTACGTGGCCAGCCACGGTGGTTTCAGCAGGCTACAAATAACGGGCTCGTTCTGCTTCACAAGCACATTTCTGAGGATCAGGGCTGCTTGTTTCCTTGGGGGTCAGGGACCGTTGTGGGCTACCAGCTGAACACACCCCAGAGTGCTAGTGTGGAGTGGGAGCACCCATTGTGGAGTGGGAGCACCCAGGGACTTTTTGCCTGGGATCTCAGCTTGCTTCGCCACAGATGCGCCAGGGGGTCTTGGACTGAAGGGGGGGTGTCACGATGAACAGGAGAGCCAGCGAGGGCTGCTGGTCCCTTGAGCCTCACGCATCTCCCCTCCACCCCTGGAAGCTAAATCAGAGAAGATGCGGGGAGGATAAGAACATAAGAGAAACCAATGCTGGGTGAGGCCAATGGCCCATCCAGTCCAACACTGTGTCACACAGTGGCCAAAAATACCAGGGGCCATCAGGAGGTCCAGCAGTGGGGCCAGGACACCAGAAGCCTCCCCCACTGTTGCCCCCCCCCAGCACCAAGAATACAGAGCATCCCTTGCTCCAGATAGAGTGTTCCCATCTATACCTTGTGGCTAATAGCCACTGATGGACCTCTGCTCCATATGTTTATCCAATTCCCATGCTTGTAGCCGCCACCGCCTCCTGTGGCAGTGAATTCCATGTGTTAATCACTCTTTGGGTGAAGAAGTACTTCCTTTTATCCACCTTAACCCGACCGCTCAGCAATTTCATGGAGTGCCCATGAGTTCTTGTCTTGTGAGAAAAGGAGAAAAGTCCTTCTTTCTCAACCTGCTCTATCCCATGCATAATCTTGTAAACCTCGATCCTGTCACCCCTCAGCCATTGTTTCTCCAAGCTAAAGAGCCCCAAGCGCTTTAACCTTTCTTCATAGGGAAAGTGTTCCAGCCCTTTGATCATTCTAGTTGCCCTTTTCTGCACTTTTCCCAATGCTGATATCTTTTCTGGGGTGTGGTGACCAGAACTGCACACAGCACTCCAAATGAGGCCGCACCCTCGATTTATACAGGGGCCTGATGTGAGATGCCACCGCTGTGTCCACTGCATCTTTAGTGCAAATGAGTTGTTGGCATTTGAGAGCCAGTTTCTGGGGAGGGGGGGAAAGGGCTGTTTAGGCAGCATCAATAGAGGAAGAATGTATATTCCGGGAGGGGGGCGGGGGGGCTGTTGCCTTTCTTTGCCACTCCTATCTTCATCACTGCAAGAATGGTCCTGGTCCCTGTAGCCTTCTTCCATGCCCTCTGCTCCCTCGGGGGAAGGAGAGGAGTGCCTGTATCTTCCCCAGAATGCAGAAAAGGGCACCTGATCTATGTATGTGGAAGGGCAGGATTTACCCTAGGCCGCAGAAGCTGCAGTTAAGCCAGCTTTCACCCTGAACAACAACATGCTTAACTGGCTTTCAGGGTGTGCTCGCCTCTGCCTTCCTTGGATTGCAATTTGTAGTTTTTGGGTCCACAATAGTACCAGGTTCCAGACCTTCAGAGTCACGTTCCTGAGGTTTGGGCCTATGGGGGGGGGGGTCTGTCTGTTCTTCTCATTCGGCTGCTTCCTGCATCCTAAAATGGGAGAGCCAGCATGGCATAATGGTTAAAGTGTTGGACTGGGACAGGGATTTCCAACTTGGTGCCATGGTGCCCACTGACACCTTTTCTGGTGCCCCCCTGCCCCAAGTGTTCTTAGGAAGTGAGTGGGTCCAGATGGGGCTTTTGCCCACCAAGGCCTCTGATTGGCCACTGGAGTTTTGATTGGCTGAAATGATACAAAATACTGCAATAACGTGCAAACAATTTCTATTAGTTATTGAAATGTATACATCATGACAAATTGCAAGAATACATAATCCTCATAGCAACAATATTTTTGTTTTGTAAACAGATGAAAAATATGGAACGCTTCACGAATTTGCGCAAGGATGACATGCAAATTCGTGAAGCGTTCCATATTTTTCATCTGTTTACAATACAAAAATATTGTTGTTATGAGGATTATGTATTCTTGCAATTTGTCATGATTTATATATTTCAGTAACTAATAGAAATTGTTTGCACGTTATTGCAGTATTTTGTATCATTTCTGCTATTTGTACTGCTACCCCATAATTGTTTTCTAGCTTTGATTGGCTGTGCAGATTTTTTTAAAATGTTATTTTGGCAGCAGCTGCCACCACAGCCCCAGGATCTGCACTGCGTGACTGACGTTAAGCCGCAGCAGTCATTTTGTGGCTGGCTCCGCCTCCTGTGGCAGCCACGTCCTGGACTGCACCCACCCTGCCGTGTCAGAATTCTAGACGTGCCCTCAGGCTCAAAAAGGTTGGGGACCCCCGGACTAGGATCTGGGAGAGCCAGTTTCAAGTCTCCACTCTGCCACGGAAGCTCGCTGGGGGACCTTGGGCCAGTCACACGCTCTCAGCCCAGGGTTGCTGTGAAGGTAAAACCAAGGAGATAAAAAAAGAGTCATCTAAAACACAGTTTCCCCTTTCCGTCATTTATGAGGACCGCTCTCTGAGAGGAGCCGTGGGACTGAATTCTCCTTTTCTTACAGGGTGTCCGGCATCGGTTCAAAGGCAGCGTCAACGCCATCAGGGTCCGAGCGCCGCAGATCGGAGGTGAGGAAAGGGGTGTGGCTTTGGGACAGGAGCGGGATGAGCCATAGGTGGCGTCAGTCAACAGATGGCTCCAGCCGGTGCGGGGTAAGACAGAGGGGGGTAAGACAGAGCTTCTGGCCCGGTGAGATCACAGTCAGATGGAAGGATAATGCAGACCGGCTGGGCCCGTCTACGTTTGTGTGTGTAGACTTAACAGATGCTGAGTGTGGGCGGAAACAAGATCGAATCCCCACAGAGCAGAAGGGCGTGTCGTCCAACAGGAGCTTCGTTTCCCACCCATTGGTGGCTTTTAACCCTTAGCAGCAAAAATCAGTGCAGACGAGAGAGTCTCGCTGGGCTTCAGGAGGGTGGGGAGCCCCAGTGATTAGGGGTTCCGTGGTTGGAAGGCTCAGGGGAGCCGCTGGGCTGCGGCCTTGAATTTAGACACCCGGAAATTCATTTTCAGAGTGTTGCTGGGTTCACCTGCAGCAGAAGAGCTCGCCTCGAGTCTGGCACCACCTTGGAGACCAGCAAGATTTGGGGGGTTGTATCCGAGAGAGAGCGCTGACTCTTGACAGCTTAGGCCCTGAAAATCTTGTTGGTCTCTCCTGGACTCGAATCCAGCTCTTCTACCGCAGAACACGCCCACGCCCTGAGGCTGAGTAAGTTTCACGGCTTGTTCTTATGCGCATCGCGGGTGATCAGTGTTTAGTTTACTGTTGTAGCTAGGGGGCCTCATACGCCGGGGAACGTGTGGGACTCGCTGGACCTGATCAGGTATGAAATTTTGGTCTGCGGGTGTGCATAAAAAAATCCCAGAATCCCAGATTTGGGCTATACAGGCCATCGAGTCCGACCCCCTGCTCGATGCAGGATCAGCCTAGAGCATCCCTGGCAAGGGTTTGTCCAGCCGCTGCTTCAAGACTGCCAGGGAGGGGGAGCTCACCACCTGCCGAGGCAGCTGATTCCACTGTTGCACAGCTCTTACTCTCAAAAAGTGTTTCCTAATATAATATCCAGCCGGTACCTTCCCGACCTTGATTTAAGCCCATGATTGCCAGTCCTCTCCTCTGCTGCCCACAGGAACAGCTCCCTGCCCTCCTCCACTTGCACCTGGCTGGATGACCTTGGGCAAGCTGTAGTTCTGACAAGAGCTGTCCTTGAAAAAGAGCAGTTTCTGTCAGAGCTCTCTCAGCCCCACCTACCTCACAGGGTGTCTGTTGTGGGGAGGGGGAGGGAAAGGAGTTTGTAAGCCGCTCTGAGACACCTTTGAGTAGTGAAGGGCGGGGTATAAATCCATTCTCTTCTTCTTCTTCTTCTTTTACCTCACAGGGTGTCTGTTGTGGGGAGGGGAAGGGAAAGGAGTTTGTAAGCCGCTCTGAGACTCCTTTGGGTTGTGAAGGGCGGGGTATAAATCCAATCTCCTCTTCTTCTTCTTTTACCTCACAGTGTGTCTGTGGTGGGAAGGAGAAGGGAAAGGAGTTTGTAAGCCGCTCTGAGACACCTTTGGGTAGTGAAGGGCCGGGTATAAATCCATTCTCTTCTTCTTTTTCTTTTACCTCACAGGGTGTCTGTTGTGGGGAGGGGAAGGGAAAGGAGTTTGTAAGCCGCTCTGAGACTCCTTTGGGTAGTGAAGGGCGGGGTATAAATCCAATCTCTTCTTCTTCTTTTACCTCACAGTGTGTCTGTGGTGGGAAGGGGAAGGGAAAGGAGTTTGTAAGCCGCTCTGAGACACCTTTGGGTAATGAAGGGCAGGGTATAAATCCAATCACCTCCTCCTTCTCTAAGTGGCAGCCCTTTGAATACTTCAAGCGAGCAATCATGTCCCCCCTCAGCCTCCTCTTCTCCAGACTGAACATTCCCCAGTCCCTCAGCCTTTCCTCGTAGGGCTTGGTCTCCAGGCCCCCGATCATCCTTGTCGCTCTCCTCTGCACCCATTCTGTCCACATACTTTTTGAAGCAAGGCCTCCAGAACTCCACACAGTACTCCTGGCGCAGCGTGTCCATTGCTGTGTACAGCAGGACTATGACATCTGGCCTCTGTTGAGGCACATCGTTCTGGAGATGCACTTGGAGCTCTAGGCAAAGTCTGCACAAGGTTGTTCTGTGTCCCGCCGAGTCTGCTGCTGAGGGGCTCCAGGCACGGTCCCCTCCCTGCCAATCCCAGCAATGCCCTCACTTTACCCATCTTAATTCCTTTTTTCCAACGCTGCCCTTTTCTTTGCCGGCGAGCCTCAAAGTCTGGCCTGTCTCAACCCGTCTCGGCAGGCTGCCCAGAGCAAATGTATGTGTTTGGAGCCGAGCATTTGGCTCCGGCTTGGCACGGACTCCAGATCCGTGTCGCTGCCAGTTACAGACAGCTTCTGCGCCCAGCTGGTGACGCCACCTGCTCTCCCCGTTCCCCCTTCGCAGGCAGCTTCGCAGTGTGGGGCGGGCTCTTCTCGACCATCGACTGCGGCCTGGTGAAGATGCGCGGCAAGGAGGACCCTTGGAACTCCATCACCAGCGGGGCGCTCACCGGAGCGGTGCTGGCCTCCCGCAGTAAGTGGCAGCCTTTGGCAGGCTGACGACGCGACATCTCTGCCCCTTCCCCATAGAGCACAAGAAGAGCCCTGCTGGATCAGACCCGAGGCCTAATTAGTCCAGCATTCTGTTCACATTCATTCTCTCTCCCACCCCCCCTTCAGTTTGGTGTAGTGGTTAGGAGTGCAGACTCTAATCTGGGGGAACTGGGTTTGATTCCCCACTACACCACATGCAGCCAGTTGGGTGACCTTGGGTTCTCTCAGAGCTGTTCTCTCAGGAGCGGTCCTCGAAAGAGCTCTCTCAGCCCCACCTACCTCGCAAGGACCTCACAATTTCCCCCAAGCAGCTGTGCTGCCCTCGCTCTTCTGTTTTCCCCGCCTGCATTGGTCAATTTCACACTATTCACTGCACGGCCATGTTTTGACCCACAGCTCCCCCCCGATTCCCCCCCATCTTCTCAATCCTTGTTGGGTTTTTTGAGATCCAGAAGACGCAAGGGATATTGGGGGGAGCTGCGGGTCAAAATGCAGCCGTGCAGTGAATAGTGTGAAATTGACCAATGCAAGTGGAGGAAACAGAAGAGCGAGGGCGGCACAGCTGCTTGTGGGGAATCGGTCTTATTCTGAAGCGTTCAGGGGGCAAGTTGAGGCTGGGCAAAAGAGGGAATGTTGGTGGCAGTTAATACACAGCTCCTGTACTGATTGTTTTAATGTATTTGTTGTTTGTTATGTTTTTATCTGGTTGTTACCCACCTTGGCTCCTACCTTATTGGCTCATCAGTCTTCCTCTGCCCCCGTCTTCTGTGTTTGAAAGCTGAGCCATAGCTTTGGTACCCGTTTTTCTTTCCCCCCAGGTGGGCCGCTGGCCATGGTGGGCTCAGCTATGATGGGCGGAATCCTGCTGGCCCTGATAGAAGGCGTCGGGATTTTGCTCACGCGATACACAGCCCAGCAGTTCCAGAACCGTAAGTCGGGGCTCCGGCCAAGAGCATTCTCCTAGAAGGGGGCGGACAGGGCTCGTATTCTGTGGTGGAGCGAAGGTCGTGTGGGGCGTTCCTCAGGGACCGGTGTCAATAACATTCTCCCTTGGAGCAGAGTGTTTGGGGACAGGCCTTGGCTCACTAGCAGAGCCGCTGCTTTGCACGCAGAAGGTCCCAGGTTCAATCCCCGGCACCCCTGGTTTTACAGGTGTTCGGTGATGGCTAGCCCTGTCTCGTCAGATCTTGGAAGCTAAGCAGGGTCGTCCCTGGTTAGTCTTTGGATGGGGGGGACCACCGAAGGAGAGCAGGGTCACTACACAGAGGCAGCCAATGGCAGAGCACCTCTGTTCACCTCTCACTTTGAAAACCCTGCAGGGTCACCGTAAGTTGGTTTGGGGCTTGATGGCAAAAAAAGGGTGGGGGTGGGGTGGATGGGAAAGACTTCTCCACGAGACCCGGGAGAGCCGCTGCAGGGAAGAGTCAACAGTCCACACTTCAACAGCCAAAAGGTCTGACTCTGTACCTGGTAGCTTCACCGGTCCCGTTATTGCAGTTCGTGAGGGTCCACTTCTTTTTTTGCTCTGTTTTTGGTTTTCTGTTTTTCATACGTGCCTCTGTGTGTGCACATGGGAGTGTGTGTGCGTGCACCGGGAAGTCATGGTGACCTCTGGCGACTGACCCCTACTGGGGGCCTGGAGGGTATTCAGAGAGTTGGCTGAATAGAGCCTGCCCCCGCCTCTGGTATTCCTCGGAGGTCTCCCATCTAAGTATCTCCAAGAGTCGACCCTGCCTAGCTTCAGAGGTCAGGCTTGGCTCAGCTATCCCGGTCAGGGCTTTTTCTGGTGACTCGTTTTGTTTTTGTATTTTGTGTGTGTGTGTGAGTGTGCGCGCACCTGGGAGTCATGGCGACCTCTAGCGCCTGACCCCTACTGGGGGCCTGGAGGACATTCAGAGAGGTGGCGGAATAAAGCCTGCCCCTGCCTCCCGGCTGCTGGTATTCCTCGGAGGTCTCCTATCCAAGTGCTTGCCAGAGTCGACCCCGCTTAGCTTCCGAGACCCGACACAATTGGGCTCGCCTGGGCTATCCAGGTCAGGGTTGCGAGCAACGCTCCCTCTAAGCTGTGGAGTCTTGTGAGCAAAAATCCTACTTTGTGAGCTGCCGGCATTAAAGTTGTGAGCGAGCGATTCGGCTCCTGCATAAATCAATTTGCTCCGGAGCCGTCCCTTCCTGAGCTAAAACGAAAATGTGTGAGCTGGGGGCTAAAAAAACCTGTGACCTAGCTCACACTAACTCAGCTTAGAGGGAACACTGGCTGTGAGGATCTGTTTCAATCCAGTGACCGCCCGTGGTGTTTTGATGTCCAGGGGTCATTTTGTAGAAAAAGAGGTGCAGGAGCTCATTACCATAAATAAAACTTGGTCTTAACGGTGCCACTGGACTGTTTTGGGCCGGGGGAGGCTCTGCAACTTACCTGGCTGCTTCTTGCTCTGACTGGGGGCTGCTGGGAGCAGGGGGTGGGGCTTGTTGCACGTGCCCGCCCCCTGGGCTCTTTATTGCCGGAGCTCCGCTCCTGTGCGCTCCTGCAGGAAATGACCCCTGGACATGACTCAGCTTCCAGTGTGACCCACATATTCCCGGCAGGCGGCACCCACCAGACCCCATCATGAGCTGCCCAAGTCCAGCCTTCTTGGACTAGAGCGGTCAGTCCTAACACATTGGGGAGGGACACTGGATCACCGGTAGAGCCTCCGCTTGGCATATAAGAAAGGCCCACGACAACCAAGAGTTATCCTCATTTGTTCCCGTGGACTGGGCCTCTCCAGTCTTGGGCTTACACAAAAAGGTAGTTCCCAGGATTCTGTTGCATTCTAATACTGCAACCCCTGAAGAAATCAAGCACAAGGGGGAGACATGTTTGGCAAGGGGTGAGGGTGTGTAGGAGGCGACCAGGCTTGGGCCCGATCTGCACACCCGCAGCAGCAGAAGAAGAGATTGGATTCATACCCCGCCCTTCACTCGGAGTCTCAGAGCGGCTCACAAACTCCTTCCCCTCCCCACAGCAGACACCCTATGAGGCAGGCGAGGCTGAGAGAGCTCTTTCCAGAAGTGTCCTTGAGAGAACAGCTCTGACAGCACTATGGCTTGCCCAAGGTCATCCAGCAGCTGCGAGTGGAGGAGTGGGGAATCAAACCCAGTTCTCCCAGGTTAGAGTCCGCACACTTAACCATTACACCAAATGAGGCAGGGCCATGGCTTGAACGCTCCCTTGCGTCAGAATCTCCCCGTAAGGTTACAAAAAGCAAAGATTCTAGCTGAGTCTACTCCGTGCCATGCTAAGCACTGCAGAAGCACCGAAAATGACGGAACTAGGGAAGTTCATGCCCTGACCCAAATAGCCCAGGCTAGCCCAATCTCGGAAGCTAAGCAGGGTCGGCCCTGGCTTGTATTTGGATGGGGGAGATCTCCAAGGAATACCAAACCACCTCTGGACATCTCGTGCCTTGAAAACCATAAAGGGTCACCCATAAGTCAGCCGTGGCTTGACGGCGCTTTCCACCACAAGCCAGAGAAGTTTGTGTAGCCCCCTAAATTGGCGTTTGAAGCCCGTCAGCAAAAGACATCTTTGTCGCTGAGAGCATGTGATTAGCCTCGCCGTTCGAAAGCAAGAAATTGCAAGTAGATAAATAGGTACCACTTCAAGCACAAGGGGGAGACACTTCAGCATCCGTGCACCTCGGCGTTTAGTCATGCTGGCCACATGACCACGGAAACGTCTTCAGACAGCGCTGGCTCTTCGGCTTGGAAACGGAGATGAGCACCGCATCCCTAGAGTTAGATTGAGTGGCTTTCAAGCAAGGGAAACCTTTACCTTTAGGTGACTGACATTCTCAGGGTTGGCTTCCCCCCCTTCCCCAAACAGCTACATCGCTGCGTTGATTTCCATGCCCCAGATTTGCCTCTTGCTTAGATTAGCTCTCTGGTTTTAATTATCATCCTTGGCTCTTGGTATTACATTGGATGCTGGTGTTGCTGTTTTCCCCACGCGTGTGTTTGTTGTGGACTGTTTGGTTTGAAACGTGTTGGCAGCCTTGGGGCTCGGGCGAAAGGCGGGCGATCAGTGTTCGGATAACATGAAAGCGGACAAATGAATTTAGTTGCCCACCTGTGCTTGGATGTGGTACGGTCCATCCCGTCCTCATTTCAAGTCAAACTGCCTCTTTCCTACGTTGTGCCGTTCCCAAGGATTTCTTCTGTGTTTGGAGGCAGTGTGGAAATCCTGGACTGGGTTGAAAGAAGGCGAAATCTGATGCTTCTCCTGTCACCCGGGGGTAGGAAGCACATGGAATCCCCATCCCCCCCCCCTTAGGCATCCCAGAATGTACCCATTTGAACACATGAAGCTTCCCGATACTGAATCAGACCCTCGGTCCATCACAGTCAGATCCTTTAACTGGAAGGACCGGGGATCGAACCTGGGATCTTCTGCGTGCAAAGCAGAGGCTCTGCCACTGAGCCAGGGTCTCAGGTCAAGGTCTTTCCCATCACCTCCTGCCTGGTCCTTTTAACTGGAGATGCCGGGGATAGAACCTGGGACCTTCTGCATGCCAAGCAGAGGCTCTGCCACTGAACCAGGGTCTCAGGTCAAGGTCTTTCCCATCACCTCCTGCCTGGTCCTTTTAACTGGAGATGCCGGGGATAGAACCTGGGACCTTCTGCATGCCAAGCAGAGGCTCTGCCACTGAACCAGGGTCTCAGGTCAAGGTCTTTCCCATCACCTCCTGCCTGGTCCTTTTAACTGGAGATGCCGGGGATAGAACCTGGGACCTTCTGCATGCCAAGCAGAGGCTCTGCCACTGAACCAGGGTCTCAGGTCAAGGTCTTTCCCATCACCTCCTGCCTGGTCCTTTTAACTGGAGATGCCGGGGATTGAACCTGGGACCTGCCGCATGCCAAGCAGAGGCTCTGCCGCTGAGCCAGGATCCCTCCCCTTTGCTTTCTGGCTTGTGAATAAATGAGTGCAGTTACAGGGAGAACACAGATGGGAGTGTTCCTACAGCAGCGTGGTCACCAGGGCAGCAAAGCAGACCCATCAGTCTGTGACATCTGCCAATGAGCCCCCCACAAGGGTGGGAGGAGGCAGTGCCCCGGTGTTCCTTGCAACCTTCCAGGGGGCTTTCTAGCACACAGAGCCCTCTCTCTGCACTGTCTCAGCTTATCCTAATGGCGGGCGTCTCGCTCAAGGTTCGGTGAATGCGTGCCGAAGTTGCACTCCCTTCCCACAGCGTCTGGCACCCTCCCCCGGCCCTTATGTAGGTGTAACGTTCGACCTGTTTTGAGGGTTGGGGCGGCACGTCTATCACTCCTCTCTCCGTGAATCACCCTCGCCCGAGCCCACGCTGCTCCCCCTCGCTGCAGCGTAGCGGTCTCCGTTAATTTTCCTTGAGAGCCAGTTTGGTGTAGTGGTTAGGAGCGCAGACTCTAATCTGGGAGAGCTGGGTTTGATTCCCCACTCTTCCACATGCAGCCAGCTGGGTGACCTTGGGTCAGGCACAAGTTCTCTCAGAGCTGTTCTCTCTAGGGCAGTCCTCAAGAGAGCTCTCTCAGCCCCTTCTACCTCACAGGGTGTCTGTTGTGGGGAGGGGAAGGAGATTGTCAGCCGCATTGAGACTCCTCCGGGTAGTGAAGGGCGGGGCATAAATCCAATCTCTTCTTGTTCTTCCCAAAGAAGAGTGGTCCTCAACTCTGTCTCCCCATCTCTTCCTCCACCCGACCCAACATAAATGGCTGCACCTCATTGGTTTGCTGAAGTTTTTCTGTGTCGCAACCCCATTGGCTTACTAATCTTTCTTTCTGTTTTTTCCCCACCCGCTTCTCAGCCAATCCTTTTGGAGACGATCCCAGCCAGCTGCCGCCCAAAGATGGCTCCCCACCGCCAGGATATCCAGGCTACGGACACTATCAATGATCTTGTTTGGGGCTGGGCCTCCTTTACTTTTTCGTAGGGCAGAAATCTCCTCCGGAAGCTACCAAAGACTGTTACTTAATAACACTCAAAAATGCATTTGGAGGGATGCGATTTCTAGCGTCTTCTTCAGGGGGAGGGTAAACCGAGGGAGGGGAGGGGAGCACGAGCAGTGTGACATCTACCTCCGCAGGGAAGCTGGAATCAGGGCATCGTCCGCCGCACGCCGAAGGAGCCACAGCCTCCGTAGAAATAACCACGGAACATTGCAGGCCGACATTACTTAGTTCGTAGGGTCCGGGGGTTCCGGCAGCGATTAATCGACCGGGATGAAAGATTTGGTGGGGTTGTTTTTCTCAGCTTTTCGTGCCCCCCCGCGGGGGGGGTGTCCGCTCTGTGTTTTGGGGAGCCCCTCCCAGCTTGGCTCCCCCAAACTGTGCAGGCAACTCGACAGTCTGTGCCTTGTTTTCCTGGAGAGCGACACCTCAGAGTCTTGTGGAGCAGGGCAGGGGGGGTGAGACCGCAGCAAGCGTCGGCGAAGATCTGCTCAACCCACACACCTGGTGGTCTTTTCTTTTTCTTTTTGAACCTGCTTGCTCAGCTCTGCAAAAAGGGCCAAGGCACGGACAAGTACCCAAAACGTTGCGCCATGTAACCGAGGGGCCGCCTGCAGTTTGGGGAGTTTCACGTCGTGCAGGTCTGTCGCATAGCCCGCGGTCGGCCTCGTCGGGTGGCGTGTCAGCCTCTGGCGTCTTCAAGCGCGGCACGTCGGAGGGAGAGCCAGCCTTTCGGGCCCTCCACCTGCCTGCAGCCCCCCCGCCCACCGGCACATATAACCACCCCCACCCCAGCTTTAGGTCGATACCACCCTCCTCATCTGACGCCAGCTGCCGCTCCTCCCCCAAAGAATGGTACAGCCTGGGTTTTTTTAAAAAAACAACTCTTTTTCTGTGAAACTCGTTCGTAGTGGGGTGCGGACCGGAGCTTTATACCAAGTCAGCCCCCTACCCCCCCCGCGCTGCTTGGTGATGTTTGTACTGAAAGATCCTTAAAAAAAGAAAGACTTGTGCGTGCGTATTATCTGTTCCAGGTGTAAATACAAACAAACTCCCTCGCTTTCCGTCCCAGAGAGTTTAATGCGGTGTCTGCCGAAGTAGGGTTGGGGGGGAGGGAGGAGGAGATCAGGTTACGCGCTGCGGGGGAATGGCGTGGCTCTGAGTGTCCCTCGCTGCGGCACTGCCCATGGAACAGGATCTGAACCCGCTCCTCGCTGGGAAGGGGCGTGTGAAAAAGTCTTTGTTCCCCTTCTCCAGCTACCTGCCAGGAGCAGAACCCCTCCAAAGTCACCCGAGGTCAGTCACGGACAGCCCCCTCCTCTTGATCTCTCCCCACCCCCCAGAAGTCAGTCAGGTAGCGTAGTTTCCTCTGCATGCTCCCGATGCTGTTTGGGTCTTCCCGGTGGCCGTCACCAGGCCTTCGGTCTTGGCCAGTGGAAAGCTTTGGTCCTTCGGTGATGTGGGGCCTCAGTATCTAGGGTGGATCTGAAAAGCAAGAGAGGGCACATCGAAGGATGGAGGTCGGAGCAGGCCTCGCTCACCCATCCACAGGGCCTCACCAATGTTCCCTCTAAGCTGTGGAGTCTTGTGAGCAAAAACTCTACTTTGTGAGCTATCGTCGTTAAAGTTGTGAGCGAGCGATTTCGGCTACTGCATAAATTAGTTTGCTCTGGAGCCATCCTTCCCGAGCGAAGACACAAATGTGTGAGCCGGAGGTTAAAAAACTGTGAGCTAGCTCACACTAACTCAGCTTAGAGGGAACACTGCTCACCTCCCCCCACCTAGCCTGTGAGACAGATCCAGATGGGTGGCTTGTGTCTGCCTAGCAGCAGAAAAGAGCAAGAGTCCAGGGGCACCTGCAGGATCAACACAATTAGTGGCAGGGGAGGAGCTTTCCTGAGTCACACTGCCCACTTCTTCAGACACCGCTAGAACGCTAGTCCCATCTGTCCTTATATCGCAAGGTTGATGGATCTCCATTCTGCACAGCTAACTGTGGTGCAGTTAGAGATAGAGCCAGATGGGTAGCCGTTCAGTGCTCCCCCTAAGCCGTGGAGTCTTGTGAGCAGAATTTCTACTTTGTGAACGACCGACATTAAAGTTATGAGCGAGCGATTTGGCTCCTGCCTAAATCAGTTTCCTCCGGATCCGTCCTTCCTGAGCTAAGGCAAAAATCTGTGAGCCAGAGGCTAAAAGACTGTGAGCTAGCTCATTCTTTAACTCAGCTTAGAGGGAACGCCAGTGTCAGTCTGTCTGTCGCTGTAGAAAAGAGCAAGAGTCCAGGAGCACCTGAAAGACTAAGAAAATTGGTGGCAGGGGAGGCGCTCTCGTGAGACGCTGCTCAACTCTTCAGAAGTATCTGAAGTGACTCCCGAGAGCAGCGACTCACGAAAGCTCCTCCCCTGCAACAGATTTTGTTAGTCTTTCAGGCGCTCCTGGATTCTTTGCCCTTTTCTATTCCTATGAGACAGATTAGCAGGGGCCAAGGCTCCCTCTAAGCTGTGGAGTCCTGTGAGCAAAAATTCTACTTGGTGAGCTCCTGGCATTAAAGTTGTGAGCGAGCGATTTGGCTGCCGCATAAATTAGTTTCCTCTGGAGCCCTCCCTTCCTGAAGGAAGACAAAAATCTGTGAGCCGGAGGCTAAAAAACTGTGAGCGGGCTCACACTAACTCAGCTGAGAGGGAACACTGGCAGGGGCAGCAGTGGACGTTTGGCCCGCCCTGCGCTTTGCTGACTGCGGTGCAGGGGAGGACGCACGGGGGACCAGTACCTTGGTGGTTTTGACCCGGTTTCCCAGCGAGCACATCCAGCCTGAATTGTCCGGCAGCGCTTTGCACTCTTCCTCAGCCAGGCAGGGCTCCATGTCGCACCACCACTTCCCTGTCACGATGGAGGCTGCGGGGCAGAGAGCAGGCGTTTGTCACCCACTCCTACTTGTCCCCGGGGCTATGCTCCCTTTTTAAAAGAGAAGACTAAAGGGAACCTCCCCAGGCTGAGGCAGACGACAACCTCTGAAGTCCTTCTTCACCCAAAGAGTGATTCACACATGGAATTCACTGCCACAGGAGGTGATGGCGGCTACAAGCATGGGTGGCTTCAAAAGGGAATTAGATAAGCATATGGAGCAGAGGTCCATCAGTGGCTATTGGCTGCGGGGCAGAGAGCAGGCGTTTGTCCCCCACTCCTACTTGTCCCCGGGGCTATACTTCCTTTTAAAAAGAGAAGACTAAAAGGAACCTCCCCATGCTGAGGCAGACGACAACCTCTGAATCCCAGAGCCAGGAGACTACATTAGGGGACGGCCTCGGCCTCCCTGCCCTGTGGTTGGCCCTCCAGAGGAGCTGGTTGGCCAGTGCGTGATGCTGGACTGGATGGACCACTGGTTTGACCCAGCAGGGCTCTTCTGCTGTTCTTATCAGGGGAAGGCCTCGGCCTCTCTGCCCTGTTGCTGGTCCTCCAGAGAAACTGGTTGGCCACTGTGAGGCAGGATGCTGGACTAGAGGGACCCTCATTGGTCTGACCCAGCGGGGCTCTTCTGATGTTCTTATGAGTGGAAGGCCTCGGCCTCTCTGCCCTGTGGTTGGCCCTCCAGAGGAACTGGCTGGCCCCTGTGTGAGACGGGAGGGTGGACTAGAGGGACCCTCACTGGTCTGATCCAGCAGGGCTCTTCTGCTGTTCTTATCAGGGGAAGGCCAGGGGAAGGCCTCAGCCTCTGTGCCCTGTGGTTGGCCATCCAGAGGAACTGTGACAGCCTGCTAGGTGTACGGCTTAACTGTTTCGCTTGATCTCAGCACAAAGAGGGTCTCAGGTTCACCCAGCTCCAGCTACTGAAAAGATCGCTGCCTCGCCTTTGGATCAAATTATCTCCCAGAATCTAATCGGAGAGCACCCCCCATCCCCTTCTCCCCCAGATGTACGCTGCCAACGGGCATCGGATGTGCCTCTTTCTCAGAAGTGAGGCTTCAGTTGACCCAGAGAGGGGGAAACTCTCCCGGCCAGCGTGGTGTAGGGATGAAGGGTGTCAGGCTAGGGTCTGTGAGACCCAGGTTCAAATCCCTCGCTCCGCTGTGGAAGCTTGCTGGGTGACCTCGGGCCAGTCACCCACGCTGAGCCTAACCCACCTCACTGGGCTGTGGCAAGGAGGAAAAGGAGGAGAATGTCATAAGCCACTCAGGGTCTCCGTTTTGGAGCCGAGTGGGCTCTAAATGAACGAAAGCAAGAAGTCCTCTTGGTGGTGGAGAGGTGAAGACAAATGTCCCCCACGAGGTTCACGGCAACCCTGAGGGGAAATAGCTCTCCACAGACCCTCTGAGGTAAAGAAGCTGGAGTTACCCCTTCAGAAAGTCCCTCACAAAGGGCTCAAGAGCTTGACCACCTCACTCTTCATCCGACTTCCCCCCCCCCCCCACGATTAGGCCTGTTTCGACCCCTCCCCTTAAAAGGAAGTGGCTGATGTCAGCTACTCCCGGTATTGTCAGGCAACTTTCTAGCCAGGACTCTGCCTCCCCTCAGCGGTCAGATGCCGGGTGTTCCCCCCCTCCTAGTTTCACCTGTTCCTCCGGGGCGGGGGACCCCAACACGGTGCCCGCGGGCGCCACGGTGCCCGCCGAGTGTTTTGAGGAGGTGGGCGGGGCCAGGTAGGATTTTTGCCCCGCAAGGGCTTCTGATTGAGTGATGGAGATTTGATTGACTGTGCTGGGTGTTTTTTTAGATGCCGCTTGGGCAGCAGCTGTCCCCGTAGCACAAGGGTCTGTGCTGTGTTCCTGCAGTTTTTTCAATTCAAAACCTTTATTGGCATGGATCAGAGTCATAAACAGTCATCCTTCAGTTCATTGATTAAACACATAACTTCCTCATTATAAGGCAGTTACAGAAATTAGCCACCGCTTCAATAACCACTGTATTTTGTGAAGCAGTTAATCTGTGGCAATCATTTTGCGGCTGGCTCCGCCTCCTGCGGCAGCCATTTTGGGACAGCCGTTTTGTTGCTGTGGCCACCGTGCCGTGTCAGAGCCCCAGCTACGCCTGCAGGCTCCAAAAGGCTGGGGA